ATCAGTTGAACAGCTGCTAGTTGTCGTGTTATTCTTTGCATGCAGTAACGAGCCTCCGCCACGACGCATACACAAAAATAAAAATCAGCAATCATGCCAACTACACAAACACGAAAATAGAATGTTGCGTCTCGTACATGCCCGCATAGCTGGCGACGATCGTGTTTACATGTACCAAATTTAGGGGATGATGATCGAGACGGCGCGATCATACTCGATGCCGGTCTCTGGTATGTACAATAACGTATGTGGCATCACCAGTGTAGCCAGTTGAATTTTTTTTAAGCTAGATCTAGCCTTGCCTTTTATTTCATAGCCTCGAAGCCTTGGGTCAAGCTTCTAAGCTTCTTTTCTAGCCTTTTTTGGTTTTGAAATAGCTCTTTTTTATATAGTACATACATATGTATGTATATATTTCATATCAACTGGATGAATCCATGAATGTTGAATAAAAAACTAATTATACATAACTCAAATGAAGTAACAATGATTAAATACCAATGTCGAAAATATTTAACATACAAATGGAACAATCCAAATACATATAATATTCTGGATTGAAGTGAAAAAATTCTAAAATTCATTGAATAAAAGTCCGTTTCAAGAACATTACAAACTAAATAGTTTTTAGTTTTCTTGTTTTACCATTCTGTAGCGATGAGGACGAGCGGATTTTTAGCGTAATGAAAATTTTTAAAGACTAAGCACAGAGATTGGATTAAAATAGAATAAAATATTCGGTTCTCTCTTAAAAAATTAGAAATTTATTGGCTTGATTTTGAAATCCCTCAAGATTCATCAGGAGAAGAGGACGAAATACTCTTTTCTAGGATACATCATGCAGTAAAAAATATGTGAAAAATTCAATGTGTAACAAATATCTACATTAAAATTGTTCGCAACACTATTTGCAATATAATATAATATTTCTATTTGCAATATAAAACACAGCAGAATATAAAAAACTTTAAAAATTTTGACTCTGTCTAACTTCTTTTTAGTAGCATATGTAGGGTTCGAACGATACTATCGATATTGAGTAAGCATCGATACTGAGGGTATAAAAATGAGTACTTTAATACTCGATACCTTATTTGGTGATTTAACTCGATACTTTGCAAAGTACTCGTTGTATCGAATACTTTTTAAAAAACACATTTTTTAAATTTTTTATTCCATTGGCAACCCAATTTTCTTTGCTTATATGGAATACTATCATTCAATTTTGTCCATCACTTAAGATAAACTGAAATTTCGTGTAGTCTGTCGCATAACATAAACCAAATAAGTTAAAGTTTAATAGCCTTATTCATAAAAAATAAGGTAGGTTTATAAACCTTTTATATTTTGTATGAATAAGGCCATAAAACTTTACACAAAGTTCACGAAAATGCAGAATTTTTAGAAACTTTTTGGGTATACAGTTTTCTAACCTATTCAACTTTACGTGTAGCCTACTACCGTTAACTTTTAATTCAAACTTACACATTATTATACTAAAATTGAATAGTCTACAAAAACGCATACCCAAAAAGTTTACAAAAATTCTTAATAAAATTTGAAATTTGTGAAAGTATATATATATATATATATATGTATGTATGTATGCATGTACATTTATCGTTAAAATTACTTCCAACGTGAAAGTAAGTTCTGCAACAATGAAATATTTTAAATTTTCATTGTTTTAATTTCAGGAAATAACTAGATATACGATTGAAGAATAAAATAATTTTAGTATCCCAAAAAACGTATTTTAATGAGTCCGATACTGAGTAGTATCGATACTTTTTCCCTGATACTTTTAGAGTATCGATACCATGAACTCGATGCCAGAATGAGTACTCAGCATCGATACCAAAGTCTCAAATTTCGAACCCTAAGCCTATGGCTTTTTCTGGCTTTTTATTTAAGCTTATGTAGCTTTTTTAGTAACGTATTGTGGCAACACTTGTCATCACTCCTGCACGGCTAATCACCACATATCCGTCGTCGCATCGTCACACAACCCAGTCTGGCCGGTTAGTTGCCTGGCTGACTCCCTAACCGATTCAAATGATACAGCATTGTGGCATCGATGGTGGTTGTTAGTGATGCTATAGCGCTGTTGTTGTAATTTGATGTGCTGCTGGCCTTAATGGAATTATCAAACATTTTAATAACAACTAAATAAAAACATATGCGCGACCACGAATATGACTTTGAATAAGCAATTCCAGGCGCGCATGTGCAAATGCTTCGTCAAAGGGTGACTGACGGGCGTAACATCGTCAGGGACAAGTGCGTGCGAACATATGTATGTATGTATTGCTTTGCTGCTGCATTCGAAAGTGTTAATTAAAATTGAAATCCCCACAAACAATCAGCGGTGTGCTGTCTGAAACTATTTTCACATTGTTATTAATATTTCACTTATTATTCTTTTTGGTGATGTGATGTTTATCAGCGGAGTAACAACAGTAGCAGTGACAGTCTACAACACCCTTCTACTAGCGCCCTCATAAGCCAGTTGTCAACAATGCAATACTATTCGACAACCAGGATCGTTATTAAAGCTGGCAGCCTTTGCCACAGGACATGTACTATTGTGTGATTGCCCAATGTGTGAATAATGTTGAGAGTAATTGTCAATATCAGTTACGTTCTTATATATGTATATGGATGTATGTATGTATATGTATGTGTTTATACGAACGCACAAATATACAAATGCCTTCACTAAGAGCAACAATACGTGTGGCATGTGGCAAGTCACGCGCGTTGCTTGCTATCAATTGCATGTTTGCGCTCGCTAATCGCCAATGATATTTGCTAAGCACAAACATTGCCCACAAACTACAACAACAAAAAAAATATTGTATATATGTACATGCATTCATCACTTTTCAAAGGAGACTGTTAACAGCGCGTAGTGTAGCTGTGCAGCTGCTCATTTACCATGTCAGGATCAGCGACTGCAGCATCGCGATAAGGTTTTAGGCGTAAAAGTCAAATATGTATGTACATTAAGGCGAGTCAATTTATATGGGAGATTTTTTTCGACTATAGGCGTATAGCATAGGTGGATTCTATGTGTAATTCTAAGCAAACTTGCCAAAGAAACCATGGGTCTAAAATCAATTTGGAGTTTGCCGAATTGCGAAAATATGTTTCTTTTACTTAGCATTTTGCTGTAGTGTCGTAAAGAAGTGCTTAACTGAGTTTTTTTGCAACGAAATAAAGAGAGTGGGAAAATAGCTTTCCACTGATACCACATAAGTCTAAATCGGAATAGTTTTGGCCCAGTTATTCAAGTTTTTCTTAAACAAATCTTTGAAACAAGTTAAAAAACAGCATCAAAAATCTCATTATTACGATCCCGTTGAAAATATTTGTATGCATATTTTTTGAGCTTAAACTGTCATCTGAGGGGATTTTTTCAAAAAGTTCTTTAAAAATCTATTTTTGTGCATAAAAAACCCCATTTTTGAAGGTATTTTCAAATCGGTCCAGCCCACCTGATAACCAGGCAAGTGTGAACAACCACAATAACATTTTTCCGAAATATTTTGGTGGACGTGTTGAAATATAATAAATTTTGTAATCCCGGCGGAAAAACCGCAACTTTTTTTGTGATGCAGTTGTGCCCTTTGGCGGATGT